GGCTGCTGAGAGTGCTACGCGAGTTTCATACTTTGCGCCACGCACGACTTCATTTGCAATACTTGAATTCACTTATCTATCACCGTAAGAATCCAACTCTCTACGAATTAGCCAACAATAACCGTCAAGTCAAGTACCCATCATTTTCGAGCTTCAAGGATCCAAACGGATATACTAGTTACGTTCCTTCAACTGCGTACTTACGACTTGTATACACAGCCTTGATTGAACAATTACGCCCACTCATCGATAAAGAGTTATCAGAGCTCGGTGGTTTGATTCTAAAAGGAGACCACACATTTAAGGTTCCGAAGCATATGGCGGAGCTTGGTGGCTCATCAGCATTCACAGCTTTGTATACTGTATGTTGGGCCACGTGCCCCTGGCGTTTCGGGAAGAGCGCCAGCCTCAAGAGAGCCACTGCCAACAGGTCATCAGTTCGAGTCCGTCCAAGTCCGTTTTTAGCCTAGCAAATGTCCTCAAGTCTTTTAAATAGTCTATCTGTTTGTCAACAATCATTTGTCTACTCTGCCCTATCTGTCTTATCATCATGTCTTCACAAGCCTACCATCTTTGCCTGTTGCATATTTGCATTCTAGTCTTCACCGCCGCCGGGTGTTATTTTCGATCTCGGGGTCGCCAATAAAATTCTACTAGCTTGCCAGGGAACTATAAAAAAAAAAATGTATACTGTATGTAACGAATACGAGGAAATACGGCTTCAACTATTGGTGCCAACAAAGTCTGCCATCCATCTAGAAGGACCGTTAAAAGAGATGATCGAATCGTACCGTCTATACAACTATCCAATGCCAGAGCTATTCTTCACCGATAATGTGAAGGGCGACCAGAATCTTCTAAAACGCTCAATCCCGTCACTCACGCGCCCCATCAATGACAACAATAACAGCGATAACAAAGACAATACACGATCGGCCGAATTGCAACAAAACGATGACCAAGGACCATTTCTACAATTACTTAATACAGTATCTATAACTGTACTTAAAGACGCTATTGACGCCACTGATGCAGTTAACAATATTCGTAGTCGCGCTATTAATTCTGATCAATCTCTTGTTCAGGGATTCGACTGTGAGTGGGTGTACAACTCTGTCACACATAAAATTGGAAAAATTTCGCTGGTACAGGTTGCATGTAAAGATGCTGTATGGCTTTTTCGTTTGAAACTGTCTTCTGTGTGCGTTCCTGCCGCTCTCGCTTCTCTAATTCGTGATCCAAACATCATCAAGACCGGCCGCAACGTCAAGGGAGACCTTTAAAAAGTTCAACCGTGATTATGGAATCACTTGGAACGGAGCATTGAAACTTGGCGGCTTCTGTAGAAGGCGAGGTGTAATCGAGCGAGGCACATTGGGTTTATCGGCCATATCTGCAAGAGTACTCGGATCCGGTTTGCGTAAAGACGCAAATTTGCGCTTAAGTAACTGGGAGTCTACACAACTGTCGAGCGACCAGATATACTATGCTGCCTTGGATGCATGGGCATCTCTACAAATATTCGATACAACGAAAAACTTTGGTACCTTTGGCGAATTAATCCGCACACCGGTAGCCAACCTTCATTGTTCGTTGGATTATCTCGATAATCCAGTCACATTCGGATATGTTAGTGATCCGACAATTCACGACGATCATATAACATTTACGGTCAACAGAATCAGCGTGCCGGGCGCTGTTGTGAAGATAAAGAAGCTTGTAAACGGCAAACATGTTACAAGAATGAAGGCCTTGTCCGATATGGGAGACGTACCATTTGCAATTCAAGCTCCAGTGGCCCACCTACGCACCAAGAATCCAAGATTATGCACACTCTTGCACAGCGAAGTACCTGTCAATGATTTCGCAGTTGACGTCGAGCGAATAGCTTCTACTGCCGTGAATACCAGCAACAATCAAGAAGCGAATGATAGCCAATCCGTGTCGTCGTCGTCTTCTTCAGAAGATGAAGCTAATTTGCCTGAAACGACACATTTATTTACACAACCAACAACCACCATATCTGCAAATCAACTCCTGGTAGCATCAGTAACCCCATCACAAACCATTCGACGTATCAGCAACCCAAGAATTCTAAAAGATATATTCCATCTAATGGATATGATCAAAATCTCAAAACGACATGGTCTTGTAAAAGAGTTTTCCCGTCGTCTTCGAGATGCCATTTTTATAATTAACAATGAAGATCGTCAACGAATCGAGAATCACTTATGCACACAAGGTTTTTCATGGGATTATATGCTACTTCGCAAACCTGAATGGATTTTACGAAGAGTTCGACGAAGCGTCCCCCCTTGCTGACGAGCTTCATTCTGCTGTTCAGAACTTGTTTGCCGAGTATGGTCGTCTAGAATGTGCAAAAACCGGTAGACCACTGCTTGACAAGAAAGCTTGGGATCAAGCTCGCCGTATTCTAGCAGCTATATAAGCAGGAGAAGTATCCAATCCACCTGGAATCTCGCTATACTTCAAAATTGGTGTCGATAAGCACAATCTTCCAATGTATCGATGCAGCCGAGAAACAAACTCATTAGAAGGTGGTGTTCACCAAAATATTATTCGCAAGTTTGGCTCTTTTGGTGCAGGCCCACAAATGACTGATAGTATGTTGGCGGACTACCGATTACGACATAATATCGACGTAAGTAACTTTTAGACAGCTATGGTATTATTTAAAATTTTACTTATACTTAATGTATTTATATCGCTTAGGTTGGTACAAAAAATAGACATGGAAAGATACACCGAAGTCACTATGATCCATAGCTGCTGCAGATCATATGTGACAAGCTTCTACTGCTCGGCATGGATAATGGAGAACGCGATGATAATCATCCTTCCAGTACACTCATCGTTAAGAACTCCTTGTATCTAAAAATGTCTGGAGAATCATTTGGTATCGCATCCTTTCCACCTCATGCCGCTCAGGATATAAATATTCAAAAAGTTTCTCCGGATCCAGATAACCGACGTTCCGATCCACTTCTGGCGCAAAAGCTCAGTGTAAATATCCCATTGCCCAAGGGATCGACCAGTAACGTGCAGCGACAAATGTATATTTATATTGCATCAAAGCTCCAAACAAAGTACGCTGTGACACCTGTTCACACTCCTAAAGAGTATACACTATTCTCATCCTTACTTTCCAGCGATGGCGACCAGCAAGTTTCATTGAACTGGAAGCAGATGGCTCAGCAGTGGAATCGAGAACACGCAAATGGAATCGATGTATTTTATAAAACTGCCGAAAACTTGAAAACACATTATAACGCTTGGTGCACCAGTCAAGTTGCTGTACTTTACGATCCATCAGAAATAACGACAACGTAACGTCTACAATGCGACAACAGCTACAATCACCAGGAAGGGAGAATACCTTGATGCCCTCTCCAAATTCACCAGTCAATGCAGAGGTCATTCCATCTAGCACTAATTCGCTTATGTTCCCTCCTCTATTTTCTAATAACCATTTGTCATCTCCGTCTTTACCCTCGGCTTCTAACTATTCATCACCGTCAACAGCTTTATTGCCAGCTTATCACCAACCACAAATATCTACTTCTGAGCGACCACCCCACAACATATCTCATCCACCAGCTAACGTCTCACTACCATTGCCATCACCACCTCTTTTTACTTAGTGTCCGTACCAACAAGCGCAACAACTTTTTTATGGGCAACCGCAATCGACACATACAGCAACCGTTCCGCCTCCAACAACGACCGCATTTGTACAGCAATTACCTGCTGCATACCGTCAAGTTATACTAAAATCAACATCAGCAGCATCATCATCAAGAGTAATCCCTCAATCTACTTGGAAACTGCCTAAGTACCGTACACGTATTGATAAACCAAAACAATAGTTACATATATCTTCTTACTATATCATATCACCGTAACTCTCCATCTGTCTATAACAATTAAAATGGCAAGGATATATATTTCCCCATTATTTGCAGCTTTTCCTCTCTTTCCTTCTTATCGTGATACTGTAAAGCTGCGCTTGCCAAAATGAAAGAATTAATTCCATCAGGTCCGGACATGTTATTCATGCCAATATCTGGCCTCTATTCTTCAAAGGTTAAACGTTCCGCAAGCTTCTCAACAATCACACTTCTTTGAGGAGTTATGGTAGAGTTCTATTTGAGTCTGCGGCGTAATATATTTTTGCGGCGTTTGCGGCCGTATGAATATACTGGAGCCGCAAAAATTTGCTCAGTATCTTTGTTACTGCGTAGGAGGTAATACGACCTGTTCATGTAAAGGTCAAAAGGAAAAGAAGCAGGCGCTGCCCAAAAGGGGGTCGGTGGGCAAAATCAACGTTAGTCAACATTAGTGACTAACGAGGGCCTTTAAAGCCCTACTAACGCAACTGAAGCGTAGTGACCACTTTTGCTTATTTTGGTCATACATGCTTTATGCATTATCGTGGCTATTTATATTTATTCCATTTCTCTGAATGTCCCCACATATTGTTTTTCCCCCCTTTATATCTTGTACTATTGCTTTCAATTGTTGTGTAGATACCGTCAGAAAGTAGCCCTGGTATGATTATTATTGTTACTTGTCATTATGTTGATCATTGTCTAATATGTCCATAAAGGCGGTTTATGTTAGCAATAAATTTTTGTACGTATCAGCAACTTATAGAGGACTTTATTGGACAAATTTTAGCAGGGAGATTTGTGTGCTTGGGGTGGCTAAAACACCTGATAGTAACATTACCGATTGACATAATATATAAGGATGTTGTGAGTGACGGCTGAGGTTGATAGCAACCACAAGTATTGCTGCAGGTTGGGAAGGTTAGATGCGTAGTTCACGTTAATTTTTTTGAAAGGTAGTTCAGGTTATAGTGTGATCTTTATTGTAGTTTGTGTGACGTGATAATAAGCTCCACCGACACTGTTTCCCCCGAGCGGCGACCGCATGCCCGTTCAGCTTTCTTTTGCCATCGCATCAAAGAAGGTGTCAAGATGGAAGCTCAACGAATTCGTGAAGGGGTAAAACTAGTGCAAGAAGGTGATAAGGCGTAAGTATAGAAGCATCTTATATCTTCATTGACATATACACCTTGATTGTTTACGGATGGTCGGTTTCAGTGTCAAAGAAAGACACCAAGGATTTTAACGATCCGTTATAATCTAGCTCATCCAAAGGCCTTTTTCGTAAGCCGGATTGGGATGTAGCTTCAGGTTGCTATGACCATGCAGGTAAAGAATATCAAACAAATTTACTTTCTTTCAATCTCCCTTGTTGCATGGCTTCCTCTCTTTTCTATAGCCTTTACGTCCACACCGATAGCAGCGGTTTTTGACACTTGTACATTCCGTTAGCGACTTCATTTAAATTGGCAAGATCTTACGACCAAGCAGTTCAAGCATACTTGAAAGCTTCTGAGGCTTTTTTCAAGGCAGATGCGTATGTTAAAGTTTAATGTCTAATAGTGATTGTTATGGTGTTCGTAAAAAAGCTGTTCGGTACATTGATTCTGAAATATTAGTACTCACCTTTCTGGCAAAGCGCTAGAAAATGCGGCGCTTTTGCTGGCTCAACAGTTAAACCAACCTCAACGGGCAGCAGAACTTTACCAACGTGCCAGCAACATGTTCATGACTCGCGGTAAGAGGTAGTCCGGCGGATTATGCATGTAAAATTTTTTATATGTATTGGGTTTCTGACAGTACATGCAGGGAGTATCGATCGTGCTGCTGAGCAGCTTGAAAAGGCTGGAAGGTAACAAATAATATAGCTGATCCGAAATTTTGTATGTCTTACAGCGTCTTAACTAACATTCCAAGCAGGGCATTAGAAAATACCGATGTAAACGCCGCAATTGAAATGTACAGTTCCGCTTGTTCACTATATGAGCAAGAAGACAGAGGCCGCATGGCTATCGATATCTTCAAGAAAGCCGTAGCTCTACTTATCCGCAGCAAAAAGTATGTTGTGTCAGCAATGTATTTCGTAAGATAATACATGTATTTGTGCAAAGAAGAAGTTGTTGATATTGGATTGCCGTGCGCAATGATAGGTACGAAAGAGCCGTGGATATGCTACATCGACAGTCGGCGGTTTTGCGTAAATTGGCCAATCGTTCGCATTTATACAAGGCAAACCTAAGCATTATAATTGTGCTCTTTGCTATTGGTGATGAAGTGGAAGCTGGGAAACAGTTCAACTACATGAGCAGGTAAAAGAAGCACTGCGTGTGTCCATTGTGGTGAAAGTGATTATTGTTAATTATGTGGAAATGCAAGAAAAGCTACTGACAATGCATCAATGTACATAGTAATGATCCTGGATTCTTACAAAGCGAGGAGGCAGAAATCGGACAATTACTGCTGCAAGCTTACAATGAAGGGGACCAGGGTCTGTTGGAACAGGCAGTCCGAATGCAACATATATCATTCTTGGATAACGAAGTCGCCAAGCTTTCACGTACATTGACGGTTCCTGGTGAAATGCTTTCGAGTGGAGGTATGGGATCTCATCAACGTATGGTTCCATCTCAACCTCCAAGTACCACTTCGGCAGGAGGAGCGGCTACGAAATCACCCAACACGGCCTATCATTCCGGTGGTACCAATGGCGCTAGTAGAACTTCTAAATCGCCTGCTACGAACGTTGCGCACGGCATGTCTCCAGCACAAGTTCGAGCCGAACTGTACAGTACGCCATCATCAAAGTACAGTAGCTCTGAAAAAGCGATGGTCACTTCAGCTTCTTCAAAACAGCATGACCAGTATTATGAACATCACCAACAGCAGTCAGCTCGGTCACCACTGCCACCGCCTCCGCAAGCAGTCGAGCAAAGTGAAAAGGATCATTATCTACCAACGCAAAGCGAATTGGACGAGGAATTTGCTCAGTTAAACATGCAGCAACACGACGAAAAAAAGAAGCCTTTTGCGCCAGCTCCTCTTCCGCAAGAAGAAGATGACGATTTTGATCTGCGCTGAGTTGGTTAATGAGAACATTGTGTTTTGTATCTTTCCTTTCGTTCATTACCCTTTCAACCTCGTGTAATAAAAGATGACACCTTCCACATACTTGTATTGCCGTCCAAGTGTGGTCTGCGTTTTATGTTATTGTTGCCAGTTACGAAGTAGTTGATCATTTACAAACAGATTAACGTGAAGCATGGAAACACACATGGTTGGAGACGAAGTTAAAGGATTGCAACTATGGACCTCACCCAAACTATCAGCGTTTCGCGTTCAAAAAGCATGGAAGTACTATTTTCGCGCGTACACGAAGAATCAACATTTCACCGGTTAAAATTACTCTCACTCAAATATTAAGCAACCCTATATGATTTTGTGTCAGCGTTTGCTGTGATACTATTTTAACCATTTTCATGAGTCGCAATACACTATTGGTACTTTTCGTATTTTTCTTTGTGACCGATAATGCAATATCATCACATCATCTTAATGGTGATGCAAACCTTTGCATGTGCACCATCCTAACATGTAGAAAGCCTTAAAGCGCCTTCACATGCCTTTATGTGCATTTGCGGCACCTTAAAATGCAATTACATGCATTCAAAGGCTTGTACATGTTGGGATGCCACGGTCAGTTTCTTGACAAGCGGAAAGATTAAACAGTTGATATGCGACAACTTGTTAATACCCTTCAGATTATTACAATAAGGAGTGGCAAAATTTCTAAAAGGACTCAAAGCACGCTTATTTTTGTTGCAGCTGAAACATCATTGCTTGATCATCCTCGGTTTTCTTCGGGTACTTTAAATAAATAAGTAGACTATAAAGTCTCATCTTACTAGCATATGCGTCACAGAAAAATGATCCGAAGTTCCACATCTCCAATTAAATGCGTATTTTAGGGAGCGCATAAACACTAGAGTCCAATCAAGAAACACCTGGAATATTGTAAGAATACAGTATCTAGCTTCAAACTAGAGAGTTCGCATAACAACAGTAGATTGACGAAAGAGATCAAATGGCTATCTATACTAGTAGATCGAAAATGACACATTTTTCGGTGGAAGAAGCTGATTGTACGCCTCTTTTCTCTTCTTTTCTTTGATTCAGCGATACAGTTTTAATGCCGCTTATAGGGCACCGTTATATAATACTTTGTTGCCATACGGATACAAGTGATTACTCGACGATTATTCAATCAAATACACAGCTTGTCAACATGACTCAAGCTCGTGCTACTAAAATCACCCATATCGCATGAAAGTAATTGTATGGGACATGTGTATATTTATACATATCACATTTTTACAAACAACACAAAACGAATATTCCCCTTTAGTATGCTTTCTATGAGCTCACTCGAGGCTATATTCCGTGGCGACGTGACGAACACCTAAAGTATATAGCTAGCACAGGCAGTTTTTTAACATGCTTCCATACTTTGGATATGACGCGCCGCGTAAAGCAAAGTATCTAGTATGATACTAATGAAGGGGAACAACTTGACAACGACGATTGGATGATAGAGTTTTAATATTAAGACACACACGAGTGCAAGCGTGAAGAGATCCTTTGTAAACTATTTCCACGAGGACAGATGTTGTGATGTACAGTTCATGAGCTGCAGGAAGCGCCTGCCATAAGTGTAGTGATGTACAGAAGAGATGCTTGTCTAGATTTACATATCATATAAGGTAGATTAGACGGTTAATGAGGAAAGAAAATATCTATCCTCATAGTAGATTGCAGCACCCATGACTTTATCAGCACATAAACTAGACAGCCCATCTATACTATCTTCTCCTGAGAATTGCAATTGCAGTAGTGCTCAATTTTCTGGACAAGCTCATATGGAGTCAAAAATCATTGACACCTATAGATAGAGCACCTTCTGCGCCGCATCGTCGTTTTCATCGCTTGATCGGAATCTGCCATCGTCACCATAGAATGCACACCACCGCCGTCTATATCTGTATATTGCAATTTCAAATCCTATGCTATGGAACCGATGCTACAAGAGATCCTTTTCTTTTGCTCCCATATTAACTCTTCTAATGGCGTCTAGTTTCTCTTGGGTTGCATCCTTAAAAGCCATTCGTACAACATCTGCCTCGTTCCAAGATCGACATTTGCCGTATGAGCCTGCTACATAAGTAGGTAATGTTTACATCAAATATCCGTAAATTTGTAGATACTTTCCTTTTGTCTCTTCACCTGTTCCTAGTGCTTTGAGTTCAATGACAGCCTACCTTTATAGCTGTGCAGATGATAACATCGAATTCGTTCTCTGTTCCACGCTGCATATCATGCACATCAAAGCGTACGCTATAGTCCATGATGTTCGGTCGAATTAAAAGCTATGGTGTCACGCTGCATAATACCAAGTCAATTGAGGCTCTTTTCTTTACGTCACCGCTGCTGCTGTAGTACAGATATCATACTCTGTTATCACAATCTGCTGGTTCTTTTCTAAGTTCCTTACATACTAATCGTACATCGACCTCTGGTTCCAATTGCACAATGAATAATGAACACCTAGCAGGTCCTAATGTCGGTCCTTGCGTACTGCGCTTGAGCTCTTCGCGATGTCTTTATCAGATGTACGTCTTTCAAGAAGCGATCTTTTCAAGTCGTAATTAGTATGCACGTCCTTGCCAGGAGGAAGCATATGTCTCTTGAAAACAAAGTGCTTCTTTCGTCCCCGTGACTGCTGGATGCTATGTAGTCCATTGAGCGAGTGGTTGCTGCTACGGCTGTCCGTGGATTAGCGGATGACGGTGGGCTTGCGAGCTGGGATATTGGTTTGTTGCTTTTGAGCGAAAAAAGGTGGTCGATCATGCTTATAGTTATTGATATCCAGTGGACGAAACATCGTGTTGTTGCTGAAAGATGTAGCAATTTCGTCCACAGCTGATTCTGACCGCGATATTGCTGATACATGGCATCTTGTAGAAACCTCTTGCAATTCCCCAACTTGATTATGAGCAGTGTTGCCTGTGCTTATGTATGATCGTTAGATTGTCCTTGTGTGATGCGATGGAGCGCTAAGTAATTTGCTAAGTAATTTAGTGGTGGGAGGACAAATTGATTTCAGTAGTGATGCCGTGGGCGACGACAGTGCAGGGGCTATCATAACTTTGATACTCTTGTTGTTGCTTGTTGCACCTGGTCTCCGATGAGTAATGGTTGCGCGAAGCGAGTAGCGATTGTCAATGCTGTTGTTGTAGCTGATTGGCGGCAAGCAGCACAAAATAAAAAGAGAACTGATAGAGTAAGGAATTCGCCGGATGAAACAATTTTTTTAACTCGGATAATCCTATCCAACACGAGGAGTACATCCAGACACATTTGGTTGAGATATACTTTTGTTTCGTTTTTCAAGAACCACATGATCATGACGAGATCTAGCTCTAAAGCAAATGCGGTCGTCGCCTAACGTCATAAAAGCGTTTTTTAATGCAGAGAAACACAAAGAAGTGTACTGTTGGGATGTTGGCATGTGAGCTGAAGGATACCATCTTTGATATCTGTTTGGACGGAGCTGTCGCTGTCCTCAATGTCGACATGCACCTTGTTTTCGTTTCTGACTTTGATAAGCTGTGATCCACTAAGGATCGGCTGGCATAAAGAACATCGCCAAGCTCGTCCGCTTTGACTATTCCGCTGTGGGACAATTCAAGTGACCGTCCGGAAGCATTCCTGATGTTATTTAATGCGTTGTCACTATTCCGTTTTTTGCTTGAATGAACATCTAAGTTGAGAGATACTTAACTACTTTTGCTAGGGGAGGGCCGCGCAGCGGCCCTCTCCCTGACCCCGGGCCGATGGGCCTGGACACAAAGGCTGTTAATGGTACCGAAGGACTAAATAAAATATTGATGACGGCTGTCGCGATGATGACACATCATTTGTATAGCTACGCCATCTAAATAGAAGACGACAGACAAAGTCAATTAGCATCATCTCACAGATGCTGCTTCTTTCATGTTGTCTCACTTACACTAAGTACCTACTTGCAAAGTCTCAACTACTCAGGACGAGATACAAGTTCAACTTTTCTTTAAAACAGATACTGTATATCATATAACTCAAAGTGTGTGTAAGTGTGTGTGCTCGTGCGGGTTGGGTGTAGAAAGGGGATAAGTTACAATTCCGGAATGAACGGCGTAATAAATGTATAATGTCAACAACTTACAAAGATTGATAGAAGTAAATTAGTGAACCGATATCTTCAAGTGAATAATGTACCTTAAATACGCACAGAAAAAGAGGTTACAGTATCGGGAAAAAAGAGATGACTTACCATAAACAAAGTAAGGATAGGAATGGAGAAGCCGGAAGGGAAGACAACTAGATACTGGATAATATGAGCATACAGATCCAAAAGAGATATTTCTAGTTAGGAATTATCGTATCATATAACTTTTAGGGTACGAGTTTACAGGCGATTACAACGCTACGGGAGAGGCGCGATATATGTTTCATTTAATCATTCAATGATGGGATTCTTTAAGAATGACTATATTACATAAAAAATAGAGTCATGAATTGTTAACCAAAGTGATTCGATACCGGTATCATCTTGTAATTACGGATCTGCTTTATATTCGGCGTGCTTATTTCATTGCAGAACTGGGCATGCATCTTTGAAAACGATATAATAAGCCTACCTCGTTTGTAGGTAAGAAAAACTGACAGGGAACAAATTCATGGATCAGATCGGCTGTTCGAAATACGAGTGTTACACATGTTCAAATGAACTTGCTTATTTCAAAGAGTCGCCAGTTTTCCAAAGCGATAATCCGCCATCATTGGTCATCAAAGATGCAATGCATTTAGTCTCATATCGAAGCCAAAGGCCTGCTATCTTTCCTGATAGCCATTTCAGATGTGTTATGAATCGGAGGGGGGTGGGGAATGAAAGTTTGACAGGACCCGTGGGAAAGCAGACGCAGACTGCATGATTTTTCGTTTCCAAATTCTGCATTTGCTTCCGCGTGTCTTACTCGTATAGT